CTCAGCGTCCGCAACAAATCCCACACTTTGGCCTATCTGCTGCGTGCTTCCTGAAACCAGCGTCTACATGGGGTTTAGCTAGTTCTGATGTGTAATTTCCCCGCTGATGTGAATTCTCCCTAAACCAGCGTCTGCCGACATTGATGTGTATTCTCACCAGCTGATGTGAGATCGCCCCAACGCAAGTACGCATCATGAGCATGCTTTCCGACTCAAAAAACACAGGGCGGCAGCCGGCAGGCTGAGTGTGTGCGGGGCGGACTTGAAGTGAATTGCTTGTGGCGTGGGCAGCGCCTCATTGCCTCGTTGCCTGATTGGAGCTGCCGTGTTCTAAGGGGTATCAGTTCTCTGTTTTGGGAGCCGGGAGTCGACTGCACGCACAGGCAATATGTTAACAACCGTAAAGTCAGATGCCGGCATTGCTGTCTTCGCCAGTCAGTGCGTAGAGTTTTGCCTATTGTAACCGGTTTCGGAAGGTTTGTGTAGGTTGAGGTCGCGGGATGGCTTAGCCAGACCACGTAAGGTAACGGGCTAGTCCGACAGAGCTCCCTAGTGCATGGGGTGAGCTGGGTCTAGAGGTCTGGCTGGCTGGGGTTTGGTCGCGGGTTTAGCTCTGCCCGGTAGTCTGCTGCATCCTGACCGCGCGTAGACGAAAGTCAATTGTGTGGACGCCGCACCTACACGTCGTGATCGGGATACAGTTCGGTGGTCACTGCAGCAGAATCTGCCAAATTCCGACGTCATCTGAAGCGCCATCGTGCATGCGGTGTCGCTGCGCCGCTCCGGGCGGGTGCTGGCTGGAGGCAGCATTGGTTCGATATCCTCGGTCGCGATGTGTGCCTAAGTGGCTTCGTTGCTCGAGCGCTACCGCTCGGTTGCGAAGCCAGCATCGCAGATATGGCTCGCATGAAATCTTGGCTGACAGGCAGCCGCGCGTAGCACGATCGTCATTTGACACACAGGCAGCCGGTTCGTTTTGATCACACACACGGCGGAAACAGAGTGCTTGTAAAAAAGACTGATGTTCATCATCTAGTGCAACAGGGTTTCCAGCCAGCAAGAATTTGGAGCGGATCAAGAACATTGTTCTGAATCCAGTCCTGCCGCAACGGACATCACGAGGGAGCGGGATTTGATTTATTATGTACTGCATACAACAGGCTTTCCTCCAATTTTGTCGTTTACAGAAACCATCAAGGGTACATGATACGATACGGCCTGCATCCTGCAATTTTGCACGAGTGCAGTGTCTTCTTGTTTCACGAGTTTTAGCCGGATGGGGACGCGTAGATTGATTCGTGCCGCTGCAGCAATTTGGTTTCAAAGCACCGATGTGTGCTGCCCGGAGTCGTCCTTTCTTCTTATCCTTGGGGACCACCAACGGTGAGAGAGTCCCCGTGGAGATTAATGGAACTCCGGTAGAGTTCGATTCGCCTGGTTTCAAAGGCAGGTTGGACCTTGAATTGTGTGATGCATGGCATGCCCACAGATCACATTCCGGACTTGTGACAGCCGTACAATTTTATCATGCAGCTAGTCCTAGTCGTGCCCGGAAGGTCTTTTCCATGTCATCCACGACACAGGGAATGAGCCTGGAAACGTGAAGCCAGAGCACACCAACGGCCCAAGGAAAGGCTTGATTGTGCAGTTCCAAGGCAAGTTCAAGCACAATGCCACTATGGGCCAGGAGAACGCTACGAACATTTGGGCAGGTGGTACACTGGATGGAGAGCTCAATCTAGGTTGGATCATGTCGAATGTGGTGTCAGTTGGGGCGAAATTTGCGAAAAAGAAAACTGGAGGTCGCTTCGTTATTGATCTGGGCAGCAAGACGTCACCGTGTCAAATGGGATTCCACATACGAGCTCTCATGTGTTTCGTGAGAACACCCGACGGGGAGGAACCGCCTCCACTGGGCAGCGAGGAAGTTGAAAACGTTGCATGGGCCGGTCCCGGCTTGCTGGAAGTGGATACAACGAGTACTTACACCTTTATTTGGAGAGTGGCATACCTAGATCTTTGCACCTGGGAATTGCTGAAGGTGCCAGCAATCAGTCCGCTCCCACTGGAGAGTGTTTTGGGTGAAATTAAGTCAGGGTGTGCCTTCATCTACGATCTCGGTCGATGCGGTGGAGAACATGGCAACTGGAGAGACAGCTTGATTCTGCAGATTTTCTTTGCCAGAGGGTCACAGGGAGACGAATGGCAAGTTGAACGCCGACCGTCTATGGATGCTCCTGCAGGAATGGACGACGAGTCTCCCAAGACCGTTTTGGAGGTTGCATCTGATGCTTCAGAAGAAGTGTCTGCTGCCGGTTCTGATGTTCAGCTAGTCACAGCAGACGATCAGAGCGATTCAGAGACGACACAAGACTCTCTTGATGATGACGAGGCCATGTATGATCAGGATGAGGACGAGATCCGTGAGTTGAGCAAAAGCCATTCTCAGGCGCTTCTTCAAATCGAAAGTTGGCGACCTAGAAATGTTGACGAAATCTTGCCGGATAAACTTCAAGTGCAAGTTCCCTTCTACATCGAAGCAATCGATCGGTTCCGACGCCGCAAGGCCGATGCGGCTTGTGTTTGCTTCCATGGTCATGATTGCCGTAGCATATGATTAACCGCAAGCTTTCTCCAAGGCGCACATGTGCACGTGTGGTAGTAGGACTTTGTGTGGGTTGAGCCTGCAGGAACCCAGAATTCTACTGTGGCACAGATTTGCCAACACTGCATGTTCTGCATATCAACTCCGATTGATTATGCTGTTGAACCGGACATTGGTGGAGCTGTTTTTAACAAGGCACTCTTGCTTGCCAAACGTTCTTAGAAGCAGGTCCGCTACTGGTATATTTTTTCACTCACCGATCCTGGCGGGACATTTTGGACAGCGAAAGATTCTCAAGAGCTGGCTTCGCTGTGCCGCCCGAAGCGGCGGCTCCGAACCTTCCGCCGCGGTCCTGGAGCGAGAAGGCCTGCATGACTGTACAAATTTAGTTGGTCAGTTTGCAGTGATATGCCGCGTGCATAGATTGTCCACTCGTCCAGGTACACCTGCTGTGCCGTGAAGACGCTGGAGCAATTCCGAAGCGTCGTGTCCTCCCACCTGGACTTGGAGAGTGAGTCCAAGCTGAGGAGTGACACCCTTTCTGCTTAGTTTCCGTGCGTCAACTCTTCTTGGGTTCTTGGATTGAGCAAGTTGAATGAGCAGGAGTGTCGTGGTTCGAGCAGCAGTCACAGGGTCGATGACTCCCGACCAGACGGATGCATCCGTGGAGGGCAGTCCACGGCCTGATTCAGGTCATTTGAGCAGCCCTGCTAGACTGGCTCGCAAGGTGCTTGGTCATAATTTTAGAGGTCTTCGGGAGAGATGCGCTTTGGTTTCCTTTAGGCCTCAGGACTGACATCCTACTGCTCCTACCAGAGGTCAGACGCAGAACGCTGGGACAACGTCGACGGGTGCAACTGATGCCACCACGCTTTTTCGTCGCAGCAGACAGCATCGTTTGTGGCCTGGCTTTCGCTCATGCCCGGCAAGGACGATCAAGCGTCATCCGAGAGGACCGGGGAGTCTCATTTAAATTCGTATGAGGCAGTTGGGAAAGCATGGCCAGCTGTCGACTCAACTGTCCCAAACTCCTGTGAGGCCTTGGTCGGATCAGTGCATTTCGAAGGTCGTATTTGTGAAGAGCTTCTTCGGCTATCCTCAGACGGTTTCCTTCGCTGCTTCACGCCTTATGATTGTGAAAAACCGCGAATAAGCGTGCATGCCGGCGAGATCCTTCAGATCGAAGCCCTGCCCGGACCCACTCTGGGCAGATTTATGCTTTGGCAGGCCGGGCTATGATTTCAAGTTCATAAAGGCCGAACTAGGAGGACTTTGTGAGAGGACGGGGGGAGAGTGGCAGCTTGAAAGGCTCATAGGACAAAGGACCTGAAACAGTGCCAGCCAGCAATGCCTCCTAGGTCCACACGTTCCTTCGCGTGTTTGTCTTCTGCTGCGCGGACTCGGCTGACAGGGAACAGTGGATTTCGAACCTGAGCCGCATGGTGGCACAGGTTGGTGGAGATGCCCACCACGGTGATGCGACGCACCAGAAGGACTCGAAACTGTCTCCTGAAATCGGCTCTCCCCGAGAACCGCCGTCGCAAGAGCCGCCGTCACCCAAGACGCCTGCGACATGGAAAAGTGGACGTTCAAATCCAGTGGATGTATTTGGCTTTTCCATCGCAAAGAAAGCCGCTGGCAGAGTCGCCGGTGGAGCAAGAAGCGGCCTGCGTGCGATTACAGGCGGACAGAGAGTTCCGAGCAAGGAGGCCATGTTGCTCATGGATTCCACCAGAGGCCGACGCTGGGGACACAGACGGCGCTTGGTGCTGAATGATCGCATCCTCGCCAGTTTACCAGAGAAACGCCTTGCACCTGATTTCTCTGCGTGCCTCTTGGAGAAGGCGCTCAGTTTGGGAGCAGCGCCTGCAGCGGCTGACGTCACGGCTTTTCTGGATGCAACCTGTTTGTTCAAGGCACGGTCGGAAAGGAACCTACTAACAGACAGGCACAGAGATCATCTAGTAAAGCCTCGCAGGTTGTGTAGGTAAAGCCTTCGGTTTCGGTGAAAAAGCTTTGCATACTGGTGAGGTGGACCCGAAGCCCCGCCCCGTCCCCTGCAGGCCGTCAGCTTTCAAAATTGGACGGAGGCTGAAATGTTGACATTTTGGGTCAACACGTACCACTGCATCCTCTTGCACGGCCTCCTCATCTTTGGGTCTCCGCAGTCAAAGTCGGAGTTGAACAACTTCCGAAACAGAGTCAGTTACTTGATCGGATCAAGGCCAATGAGCCTTCGTGAGATCGAAAGTGCTATGCTCCGTGTGCCCAAGACTGATCCACAAGCCGCTCGCCAGGCTCGGGTACGGGCCAGGCAGCTGCTGGGATTCTGCGGTCTCTGCCGCAAGGGGGCGACCCCACCGGATCCAAGCTCTCCTGCTAGTCAGCGTGGCCAGCAGCGGTTGCCTGATGCCCCGATGTGTTTGCCCAAGATGCCGCTTCCCAAAGGGCCTTGGACCTACGACAAAACGCAAGCTTGCCTCTACATCGGAAGCCCGCCAGAGCTTTGGCTTCCCCCGAAGCAGGACCTTCGGGTGGTTCTGACCCTCAACAGAGGTACCTTAAGCTCCTTGTCTGCCGTTCCGATCTTCGATGCTGCAAGCATTGACTCCCAGCTGAACGAAATGGCTCATCAATTCGTCGGCACTTTCGTGGAGGTGCAGCTTCGCGACGGGATCCCGCAGAAAGTGACGCTACCAGTCTGGTGCCGGGTCCTTCTACAAGAGTTTAGAGATGACGAGGCACAGTTGCTCTCTTTCGTCTGGAAATTCATGTCGAAGGAGGTGCCCCAGCTGCCAGACAAGAAGGTTCAGCTCAAGTTCAAGAAATTTCCACAGGAATCTCGCCAGCGCGTGCAGTATTTCAAGGCTATTCTTGGCGCTCAAGAGGCGAAACCAACTTCAGCCTTTTACGCTCTTGACGGCGCTGCAAAGGCCAAGTCGTGCTCTGCTAGCGTCGCTGTAAGGACACAAAGCAGACATGCTGGAAGCCTTTTTGAGCTTGTCAGGCAGCGCATCTCACGCTACTGACGAGAGCCCTGCCCCCAGACATCATGCACATCCTCAGCTGTTGTAAAACGGATGGCTATGCACTGATTGGTAGCTAAGGGGCAGAATTCACAAGCACTGCAATTGACAGTCACGGAACCTGAGCCCGAGCACGATGATGAATTCAAGGCAGCGGGGTGGGTGTGCTTGAGTTATCAGCCAAATGCCCGTGGCAAATGTAAGGCTTACTCTCTCTATCTTCTGCTCTGAATCGTTAGCCACGTCTTTGCAACTGAACAAGCTGATGCCGTCCGAAATTCCAGGTCTCGAAGAACAGGCCTCAAGGCCGAAGGCGTCTGCTAGGCATATGAGCCTCGGGCAACAGGTTCAGGTCAGCAAGCGAGAAATTGGCAGGGGCCGAGGGGAGACCGTGACAGTCACGAGACTGCGAGCCAAGTACGGGATTGGGCCCACTCCTGTCGATCTTGTTTTGTTCTAAGAGTGAGCACTCTTAAGGCGTGATTGGTCGTGAAGGCGTTTGCAGTTGGATTGCGAACGCTAGAACCCCCACAACTTGCTCTCCGATGTCCAACCGCGGGACCAGAAAGTGGCACACCCTGTATAGTCTTTTCGCCACAGCTTTTCGAAGAATCAGCACTGGCCAGAGGCTGCAAACCATCAGGTCATGCCAGATCACTCCGCACAACAACTATCTCCGAGCTGTCGTTCGTACTCTAGATGTCTAGATGCCTGATTTTCAATTTCTGCTTGCCAGGATCTGAGCCTCATCTCTCTATGAGACGGGGCAGGACGTGTCACTGGATCGTAGGTCCGTGGTGCTGCCCTGAATAGAGGGGTAGCAAACTTACACTCGGTGGTGTCAGTGCGTGCAAGAGGCTGCCTCTCTACTTGTGAGTGCGGTAATCGGACACCGTTTGGAGATGTTTGGAGGTGTTCCGGTGTTGTTCATGCAGTGGCATGAAGGGCTCAGATGCGTCAAAGATGTCAGGGCTTGGTTGCTGTTAGCCGATCAGCCGCACGGAACATCCGTGCCGGCAAGTGGCAGTCGGCCTCATGGCTCCTTGGGGACATCCTGAAACAGCAAGGTCTCGAGCGCGATGCCGCAGCCTGCAGTCTGGGAGTCAAAGCCTGCGCGCGTGGCGGCCACTGGGCCCGGGTCTCAGCCGTATGCTTACTGCCCAGCCCGGAAAGACTTGCGCTCACCGAGGCCATGGCTGTGAAAGTATTGCATCACACACGCTGCCTCCTTCCGGAAGCTTTCGATGACATCTTCTACAGTTCCGTTGTTGATTCTTGTGGAAAAGGTTTTGTTTGGGATCATGCACTGGGCGTTTTGGGCAACACCAAGCACTACAGCCTACAAAGCAATGCCGGCGGCTGAGATTTGACAGTGCCGCAGTCTGTTGTTGTCCAGCCCGGCCTCGCGGCATTTTGCGTCGGGGAGTGGATGTGGAAGTTTCTACACAGCAAAGGTTCGGCTTCTTGGTGCTTCGTGAGTGCATAGTGTCCAGCCCACGATGGCATAGTATGGACGTAGGACCATGAACAATTCAGCCAAACTTCAAGTCAAAGTGGATCGCTGTCGCAATCTGTGCTTCTGGGAATCATGCGCTGAAGACTCTGCACCTGTCCAGAGACATTTCTTCGGATCGTATCCGCTGCATAGTCACAAGTCTGAACTGTCATTCTATCGACGCCTTGGCATCACGCAGGTCCTGAACAGAAAATGCTCAGGTCATTGCCTTCAACTCGGCCATTGCCACCTGCAGCCGGATGACACTCTGGCAGCGCAGCATGTCGGTGTGGCAGCAGGACAGTTCATGAGACCGGTCATGTCAACCGGAGAAAGTGGTTTGCTTCCGGGGTCCGTGCAGATCCGTGGCAGTGGACTGCAGCTCCTGGACACCAGTTTCGTGGCTGTCCTCAGTGCTTCTGCGGCACCTCTGTGGCAGAAGGACCCCGGGCTGATAACACCAGCGCAGAGATGTCATGCCGGAGCATTCGAAACCAGTGTCTGCAGTCGACGAGTTAGGCTAGGCGCTCCACCGATCACATGTGAAGTGGTATGCGTCGGCTTCAAGCAGGCTTTGCAGTGGCTTGAGTTGGTTGGACAAGAAGGAGTACGCATCAAGCTCAGTGAACGCGGTCGTGCCAACTGAAGCGAGCAGAGCGATTGGTCAGTATTGTATCCAAGGCTGGCAGACTACCATCACAAATTGCGCCATCGCTTCCTGCTCTGTCGCCTCTGCCTGGAAACTCTGCATGAGTTTGCTTCTGCGCCATGTTGACATCTTTGGTTGGACAGCTGCTATTTCGAGCAACAGCTGCTCCGGTGCTTGGGAGAGGGCTGTAGACATGCTGTTTGCCATCGGCTGTTCCTGTTTGCAGCCGACGTATGTTACCTTCAATGCGCTAACCGGTGCGAGCGCCGAAGTGGACAGCCTGGGTGCACTTCCGTGGTTCGTGTCGTTGACTGTTTTGAGAGCGTGTCGGGCAGACGTACCTTGCATGCATTCGAGAACCAGCGCTAGCCTTCGACATCAGGAAACCTCTAATTCTAACGATAGCATAGCTACGCAGATGTTTCAAAAGCGTTGATGGGGTTTTCTGCCCGACAGAAGACATCTTGGCATGTGACCTTCAGAAACCTAAATTCCTTGCGAGCTTGCATTAAGGAACCGGTGTGCACATGTGTCCAGGGTAAGTCTTAGAGATGGCGGCCCCAAGGCAAAGACATGCAGCTCCCTGATCTCCAGTGTCACCACCGGAAGAAGTTGGCGCCAGGCTTCTTCAATCTGGGATGAAGTACAAAGCAGTCGTGTCGACGGTGACGTGGTGCTGCATAGCACGGCCGTGGCTGCCCTGGCAGCTGGCCTTCAATGGCAAACTGGGCTGAGAGATGCAACGATGCTCGTCAAGAGGCAGGTGTCTGGCTTGTCTGCAGCCATCGCGAGCACCGTGCTTGGATGCTGCAGTCCGAATTGGCAGGAGCCATGGTCCTTGTTTTGTCCGCAAGTGTAGGAAAAAGAATGTAATGCACACGCGAGAAGGGCTTGCTTGCAGGCTGCACTGGAATTTCATTCCTTGTGCTTGGCGGCTGGTTTGATGAATCAGCAGTGCACCTCATCGACTTTGCGAACGCTTCAGCTTGCAATGATTTGGCGCTCAGCTATTGCACTTCTCGAAAGCAAGCCTGCAGGAGATGCGGCACTGGTTTCAAACTTGCTGCAAACAACCGCAGCTGAATATGTCGCTCGTTGCTTCGCAGCTTCAGATCACTCGACGACCTTGATTTGCCAACTCTGCGAGATGCGCAAACATGTGATTGGTCGGCTAAAACGCGCAGTTTTTGTTTTGGTTGCTTGCCAGAGCCAACGAGCATTTGAGCGTGTGACTGGCGACCTGGGGTGGGGGGGGGGGGGCGGGACGGGCAAATAATGCGCAGGTCAGAACACTAAATGCCTTTTAATCGGTAAACCAAGTAACAGGGCAGAGGTGGTTTGTCAGAATGAGGGCTAGGCAGTGTTGCCACATTTCGGCTCAGCAGGATTAAAAACCCATAAGATTTGATATAGATTGCAGCGGCGAAGCTGTGTCGGCAGTGAGGCAGGCGCGCTCAAACATGTCCGGTTTTGATGGCATTTGTAGCTTTAACTTTTTGTTTTGATGTGTCATGTTGTGCTTGGAGGCTGGCGCTGGAGCATGGAGAATACACCGGAACAGTGGCACTCGGTCTAAGATGTCAGGGTCGTTCTTGAGGTAAAGTCACTTTGGGTCCTCATGTTTCGCGTACATGATTCCGGTCGGAACTTGAAGGTATAAGAACTTACCCATTCTGACGCGTGTTTTGGTGGGAGCCTCGACACAGACAGCAGTCGCGCTTGTGCAGTGTGTGTTGAGCGCGTTTGGGCCAGCTTACCGTCATCTTTGGCGTCACCGTCCTCGTGCAGCTGGAGTTCCTGAACCCGGGACTGTTGTTCCTCAACTGGCCCATGATCATAAACAAGCTGCAGGCCCATTGTGAGAGCAAGTGATCTGCACCTGACGATCACAATTTCCAGTTCCATAGGTTTGGCGGCTGTTGACACCAGCCCTTTTCTTCGGCACTTTCAGTTTCCAGTTCTTGTTGCAGATGTGCGCCTACGCCGGCTTCTGCTGCTTCACTTCAAGTCCCTCACAGCTCGCTATTCGAAGGTACTTCTTCACGTCTTTCTCATCCAAGTTGGAGCAAAACGAGGCCTGCGGAGAGTCGCGATCATCCGCACAGCAGGCGAAAGGGTCTTCTAGACTTTTGAATACCTCGTGGGCTCTCAGGTTTTTTCTCAGCCCGGGGACTACCTCTTCTTCCTGCTTGCACAGATCCTGGCCCCACCGGCATAGTTGTAAGTCGCAAATAGCGGTTGCTGAGATCATGTAAGCAAGATTTATGGCCAAACGCGGTTGCTGCGACATTCCAGCTCCTCGACGTCATATCCTTGGCGCTGATGTGGCCGAGCGGTTTCCCAACTTTGGGTCCTCCTTTGGTCTTTGCAATCTTGTACTACTGGAGCCGCAGGGCACCCAGCGACGTTGAAACCAAGATTCTCGCTTGAACTCTCTGCTTCCTTTGATCATGAGAGGTCGCGAACCCTACGCCAGACTTAGCTTCTTCAGCTTCACCATCCAGGACCTGTAACCTGGAAGCGTGAGCTGCAAGATCCGCAAACATGCGTCTGTACAGGGCTACCAATTCCCGTTCGCGCTGATCTTCTTCCAGCTGCTGATAGGCCGCGGTTCACGTCCCAAAGCAGATGCCATGAGTGCAGGATTCGGAGGACGCAAGTTGTCGAAGCATCCAGTTTAAGTTTAAGTCAGCCGAACGAGCAAGTGGTGATTCTAAGCTTGAGCAGTGGCTTTTGATATGAACTGCTTTGCCATGCAATCGTTTCTCGCATGACCAGCAGCGGCTTTTGCGCACGACTTGTGTCGGCTAGCAAAGTCGGGCCAGGTGGAAACATTTGGATGGACCTGTTGGGGCTGGCTTCTGGCCACATTTACTACTTCCTAGCAGAGGCCAGAAAGTGAGATTTGCGATTTCTGATGCGCTTGAGTCCTGCCCGTGCCGCTGCGACCATAGTGTGAAAGCAATCGCGCTTGCCCGATCTCTTTGACTTGAAGAGCTGGAATTGCTTTTACTTTGCTGCTGTTTTCGTCAGTTCATTCTCGTTCATCGGGTGTCAGCTCAGATAGCAAGCAGACTGCCCAGAACAACAACATGCTGATTCTCTGATCCGAAGGTCGTGCCACAAGAGTACGGATATGTCCTGGTCAAGACTCCAGCGTTCTTGTCCAACTTCATGGCAAGATATGCTGCTCCAGGCCATAACATCTTGACAGTGCAGCTTCATCTTTGCCTATCTTTCGATGCTGCTGTAAGGAGTCGCTGCCAACCGGCCTGCAGCCACTGCACGGCCACAGCCCACCAACTTCGGAGGGGGGGGACTTGGCCTCACATTCTCCATAGAGCTGGTCGCAGCATGAAAATGCGCAAAAGCTGTGCGCACCCCAGGTCAGCGACTTGGTGGCAACTGAGCGGAATCGCCAAGTGCAAATGCCAGACGATGTTTGCAAGATGCAAACAGGACTCTGCTCGCAGGTTTTCGCTCATAGGACACGGCGTGCACGGCTGCCAGAAGGCAGCGGCTATTGAGCACGGAACAGTTCCTGGCCGTCGCGCAGGTGTCTGTTAAAGAAGCCCGACCCCTCGATTTTATTTCTTACACCGGGACAGTAGGTAGGTCTAGAGGCTATATACTGCCGTGCTGTGGCAAAGCCAGGATTGCGGCATTGAAAACAGGAGTTCCATGGAGTTCCAACACTGTCGCGTCACCCGCAGCCACTGCAACCACAGATCACGTGGACACTTGCAGCTCTTCCGTGGATACTCTTTTGGTCCAAGCGTAGTGGGATGAATCTGTAGGTCAATTTTCCCCTTCGAGGGCCCTTGTTCAGAAGCAACCATGGGGTCTTCCGGTTCCAAAGCGCAGGAGGTCCTACGTCAGATTGTGACAGTCGTGTTTCCCACTCGTCTCAGTCTGCCAAATCGCACAGGCTCCACCGGCCAAAAAGCCGACAATGAAAATGTGCTGCGCATGCCCCGAGACGAAGGACTCCGAACTAGTAAATTCTTGTTGTCACATTGCGGGCTTGATCTCAAAGCCTCACTCAATCGTAAGGTTGGTGTATGAGGTTCACATTGGATGTTTTCTGCATGCCATGCCAGGCAGCCCGAGACGAGTGCATTACCATGAACGGCGAAGAAAAGTGCAAGGCTTTCATCGAAGCGCACAAGCAATGCTTGCGTGCAGAGGGCTTCGATGTAAAGTGAAGAACGATGCTGTGCAGCTTGAATGCAATGGGACCTGTTCGGCCTAACTTGGAGTGTGGTGGAGAAGGCACGCGATAGCACCCATATCGAATCGAGGCTCGAGGTGACGGTGATGCAAATGCTGTTTCATGTGCTGCAGAAGCCTCTGATCACTGGTAGCTTAGGCAAACGCCACTTGCCGGTCCTCTAGTTGCAGCGGGGCAGTTGGCGGACGAGAGCACTTTAAGCGTCAGAAGCAAACGATCCTGACAAAGCTTTTTGCCTCTGGGGCACTGCACAATTTTTGGCAGAAGGTAGTTCTTGCATGCAGAGCTTGGACTGGCTGCAGCGTTTGGCTCTACGAATCTTTATTACAGGAAGCCTTTGCTGACCTGTTGCATCGCATCTCGGTAGCAGAGCACCGCGGACGCCGCAGAAAGGCGTGACAGTCGCTTCCCTCTAAGGCGAATGAAGCCGTCACGGCCAGAACCTCCTTTTGCTCCGCCCCCACGCCCGGTGCTTGACCTGTGGAGCTCCGTGGTACGATCTCCAACATCAGCATTGGATCAAGTGCGTCTGAGGGCCTGACAACGATGGGAAGGTCTTGGCAGGAGACATAGATGAGCCACGTGGCGAAACTAGTTCAATGTCGCAACAGTAGACAGCTGGCAGATTCAGCCTTATGCGAGGTTCAAAGCCTGGGAGGAGGCCATGAAAACGCCTGCCGAACTGAGACTGAAATCAGGCCACGCTCCGCCTTGTGTAAGGTTGAAATCCAGGTAGTTTGGGGCCCTGTAGGCTTGCACTTGCAGGTGAGCGCTGGCGCGGCTTCAACTTCGGAGCGAAGAGGTCCCGGAAATCCCAGAAGAGTCTGTCACCTTTGGAGGGATTGCGGCTTTTGTTAGAAGTTGCTGCTTGAAGGTCAATTGCTGGAGAGGTCGTGTTCTGCACGGCGATGATGGGCTATCCCGAATCTTTGACGGACCCATCCTTCGAAGGCCAAGAATTCGCACTTCACCTCCCGAGACTGAGCCGTCTGAACGGTCTGAATCATTGAATCCCCTTGAAGGCCAAATCCTTGTGCTGACGTATCCAATCGTTGGTAATTATGGCGTGCCACCCGACGAGAAGGACGAACAGGGGATACCAAGGTCCGCGCTGTAGTGACGGGCCCTGCCTGCGCGCTTAGGATTCTCCTTGTCGCAGGTATTTCGAGGGATCGCGGATCTATCCCGTGGCAGTCGTAGTGTCGGAGTATTCTTTCGCGGCATCCCACTATTCCGCCGTGAAGAGCTTGTCTCAGTGGCTTGAACAGCAGGGGCCTCAGTAATGCCCCTGAAAAACACGTGCTCACCGTACGCATAGCAGACCTAGGCACAACGTGCCTGGGATTTCTGGCGTGGACACTCGCGCCATCACAAAACGTCTCCGGCAAGAAGGCGGCCACAGGCAGCAACGTTTCCGTCTGTGGCCCATGCACGGCCATGCGCCCAAGGATCAGCTCTTGGTGCTATGGTCGTCGGGAGTGATGCAGCACCGCAGTGGGAGGACTTTCCATTTGGAAATAGGTTCAATAGTAGATCTTTATACTTCGGAAGGAGTTTATGCAGTTCTTGTGTGATTCCAGCTTCCAAATGACAAGCCAGATGTTTCACTCAGCGGTAGGATCCAAACTTGAAGAACTTGGTGGCCCAAGTGTCTGTGCTGGGCCCTTAGTGCGACTTGATGTGCTGTGCCAGTCCTGGAATTGCTGGATGCCCAGGTCCAGCCCCAAACTGTATCAGCCCGCCCGTGATGAAGCAGATGAGGGTGCCTCCCCGAGACCCGTGGCCAGCCCGGTGATCTCGTGTGCAGTGCCGTTGGACCGTTAGGTGAGCCTCCGCTGGTGGTGGCTGTTGACTGTGGCATGAAGCACCCTCCCTGAGAATTTTGCTGGATTATGTGCTTGAGTCGTTTCAGCCGTGTCTTGCGTTTGGGAGTGCTCCAGAGGAAACAAGTATCGAGGCTCAACATCGTGCGGTACTTCATCCACTACCTTCGAGTCCGCCTGAAGGTTGTGCCGTGGGACTATGACTTCTCAAAGGAGGCTGGCTTGCCGTCAGCCGCATGTTTCGTTACACTGTATAGTCAGTAGGAGGCCGAAGGTGGTCAGATAAGTACAGTGGTTTGATGAACACGAGCCGATTCTTCCTGGACTGATGCGTTTGGAGGAGTTCGACGGCCTCTTCATCAGCAATGGCCCTGGCGATCCGGAGAAGCGCAGAGCTCAAGAACCGTCAGTGTCACAAAGCAGGAGGTCGTCCGACTCAGGTGTGAAGCAACCGTGAATTGCCTCCGGAAAGTTATGCAAGAACGACCGCACTTGCCCATCTTCGGCATCTGCTTGGGGCATCAGCTGCTTTCCCTTGCAGCGGGCTGCAAAACCTACAAGATGAAGTTTGGCAACCGAGGTGTGCCAGGAGCTTACAGTGAGCTCGGTAAGGCACATCAAAGCTATGCAGATGGTGTGCGCACTGTGCACCGCAGCCGATAGCTGAGGAACCAGCCGTGCGTAGACCTGCGAACGGGGCGCTGCTACATCACCTCTCAGAACCACGGCTTCGCTGTGGACGACTCGAAGCTACCGGATGGTTGGCACACCCTTTTCACCAATGCAAACGATGGCTCAAATGAGGGCATTGGCCACAAGGACAGATCACACAATCCTGTCGCGGAGTTTGTGATATTGCTTTCCGCAGGAGAAGCCATGGTTTTCAGTGCAGTTCCACCCCGAGGTGGGCAATTGTGCTCAATTTCATGCATGACAGCTCCTTCACAGCGTTCTATGATCGTGGGGGGGAGGGGGGGGGTGGTTGTGGGCTGCTGATGGAGGCCTGCTGTGGTCCTGTGGACACTGCCTTTCTTTTCGATGATTTTTTCAAGATTCTGAGGCGCATCTGGGAAGGGACGGGTTTGGCCTTTGCTTCATGGCTTCGCAGTCTCGAGGAACTCGGGAGGAAGGAGTTTGACAACCATCAGTTACAAGCACCCGCAGGCGATTTCAAAGGCGAGACCGTGCACACGCAGCAGCTTTTGTGCCGACAAATTCACGAGCTCGAAAAGCTTGCGAGGTCTTGGTGCTGGGTTCCGGCGGTCTGACGATCGGGCAAGCTGGTGAATTCGATTACTCCGGGAGCCAGGCTATCAAGGCCCGACTTCACATCTGGAGTATTCTCTTTTCACAGACCCTGTGCTCGATGCTTTCCTTGCCAAGGCATTGCGCGAGCAGCATGTGCAGTCGGTGTTGCACCCCCGACATGATTCACCTGTGCTATGGCAGCGTTTTCGGAGATCCCGTATTTTAGCATTCGCGTCGATTGCAGGATCAACCCCAACATTGCGACCGTCCAGACATCCCGGGGCTTGGCTGACCAGATATACTTCGTTCCGGTTACACCGGAGTTCGTAACCAAGGCCGGTTGCTTTCCGCTTGTCCCCAGTGTACACCACCCGCTCCCTCTCCCCCTGTTCCTCCCTCCCCTCTCCTCCTCCCCCGCCGTCCCTCTCCCTCCCTCTCCCCTCTGTCTCCCTCCCTTGCAAGCAGGTGATTGACAAGGTGAGACCGGATGGGTTGTTTGCCGCGTTCGGCTGGGAGCCTATCAAGTTTCGGAGACAGCCCAATAATCGTTGCAGGCTGGAGAGTAACAGTGAGCTTTCCCGGCTTTGCCACAAGGTGGGCAGACGGCGTTGAACTGCGCAGTTGCACTTCACCGAGACGGCACTCTCAAGAAGTATGGCGTCAAGGTGCTCGCATGTTGCTGGGAAGGAGAGTATGCATGACCTTGCGAATCGCGTTGTGCGGCCATCGTGCGGAGGTTCTGGGCACGCAAATCGATTCCATTGTTGCAACAGAGGATCGCGAAATCTTCAAGGCAGGAGGTCCAGGTGAAGCTCGTTTGATTTCTCTGCTCAGCCGAAGACTTTCTCAGGTAGGCGTCGAGAGTTTGGGCGAGAAGTGCGCGCAGTCTGCATGTGCGAATACCTTCGAGGAGGCACGAAAAGCACGGGCCTCGTGCTTGTTGGATCGCAATGCACATTGAGATTGGTACAGGGGGACCCTTGCCCTCGAAATGCACCTGCACACGAAGTCTCCAAGCATGGCAAGGTTGATTCAAGTCACGACGATGCGGACATGTCAACTACTAGTAGCAGCAACGAGCAAATTTCCCATATTTGTGCAAGATAAGACAAGTGAGCATCGCATCGGTGGCCGGTTCTCATTGAGACGGTCGAACAGTCATGCTGCAGTCCTGTCGAGCCTGGGAACTTTGCCTGCCAGCAAGGTCGCCCGTGAGATTGGATTTCCGGTGTGGGGCCTGGACTGTGGCCAGCCATTGCACTTTTACAACATGGCTCGCTTCAGGTGCTTGTTCGAGCTGCATTTGCATTGGGTGGTCTGGGAAGTGGCTTTGCATCGAACGAGGCCTGGAAGTGGCGCACAGTTGCACCAGTGTGATGATCACCCAACATGAGTTTCCTTCAGGCAGAGCTGGAGGTGCTTCTGACTCGAGCTTTCGCCACCTCGTCTCAGGCAGAATGCCAGGGCTCAGGGCGTCTTGAGCATAAGGTTCCTATACCTTGCCACACAGTTATACAACAACATACTAGTGTACTAACGTACCATTATAAGAACGTACTAAGGTACATGCATGTACCCCCCTTCCTGCCCACGAGTTTTTCTGGTACGTACATAAATACGTACGTACCTGCCTACTTATCTGTGTACCTATACCATGACACTTACCTTGCCACACAGCTATACTGCAACAAACTAACGGGCAAATGTAGTGTACATACATACTCCCCCCGAATTTGTCTTGGTGGTTGGGACGTACATAAGTATGTAGTTACCTAGATATACTGCAACAAACTAACGCAAAATGTACTATACTAACAACGAACGAACGTACAACCGTACTAATGTACTAACGTACAGACATGCCCCGTTTCCTCCTCCGATTTTGTGTTGGTGGGGACGTACATCAATACGAATCAATACGTACGTACCTACCTACCCATCTGTGTACCTATACCCTGGCTAGCTTCCTTGCCGCACAGTTCTTATGCAACATACTTACACCAACGTACGAGCGCACTAACGTACCAACGTAAATACATACCCCTCCAGCCGAATTTTTCTGGTGGTGGGGACGTACGTACATAAGTACGTACGTACTTACTTACTCAGGTACCTATGTATCATATATATATAAGTATATATATATACATATATGTAT